CAGCTCCCGTAATCGCTTTCAAATATATGCAAATGGCTACGTGCGGTTGGCGGTTTTGGCAAAAGCTTGATTAGGATATAAACGACCCAAGGAAAAAAAAAAGTGCCTGCGCCCTAAATTTGTCTTTAGATTACAATTCCAGTTGATTTTATTTTATTGTCAACATTGTTAATGATAAAAATAGAGTCGTTTTACAGTTATTTTTACTTTCTGGAAGGAGGCAATTAGACTTCTAATCAGGAATACACAAAAATCTCCCATGATTAACTGCAGTACTTTGTTCAAATTGCTGCTATAAAATTCAGAACAATTTGCCTGTAATGATTATGGACTGGGTTTATTTTGGGAGGTGGAATAAAAGTGGATATAGCATAAATTATCCTCTAATTATACACCAGTGTCGCCTCAATTATCCTCTTATCAAAATGGTTGTCTAACTGCCGCATTTAGTTTCAATTCTCTCCTTTTTTTCTATAAAAAGAACTTCATACCTTGTTATTATTAATCCATTTATTATTTGCAAGGGGATTTATATCCGAACATCCAGGTGGTATTACCACTTCTCTTTCAAAGATGGACTGGGGAAAGACATTAAGTTGGATCCAGCACGGCGGAGGATCTCTCTCTCTCGCCTCTCCTCTCTCTCCTCTCTCTCTCTCTCACTCCCTCTCTCTTTTTTCCCCCTTTCCCTCTCTTAAATCTCCTCGCGTCCAGCTAAGCATGAACTCCAGAGACAGACCCCACCGGAGAGGACTGAGGTAGGAAGGACCCGGCGGATCTCGCTAAGCCTAGAGAAATCCGAAAGTTGCTCTAGATGGGGAAACGGGCTGGAGGCTTCGGGCTTTGAAAGCCAACACCGGCACCAGCAGCCGCCGCTTACAAAACCCCGCACAGCCCAGAGACATCCCCAGACCAAGCACAGGTCCTGCCACTGCCTCTCACAGGGACATTGCCTGAGGACTGGTTTCTAGATTTGGCATTATTTTTTTCTTTCTTAACGCGTCGCTTTTGGACATATTTAGAGGGTTTTTAATTTTCTTTCTGGGATTTTTCTTTCCCCCCCGCCTTTTACCTTTCTTCATTTATTTTTGGGTTTTGCTTCTCCACAGCCCGGTCATTAGCTCTGGGAAGCCGAGGGATGCGAGCCCCCTGTTTGCATACCCCACCGTCCATGGGGGTGGGGGTCTTTCTGGGATTTTTCTTTCCCCCCCGCCTTTTACCTTTCTTCATTTATTTTTGGGTTTTGCTTCTCCACAGCCCGGTCATTAGCTCTGGGAAGCCGGGGGATGCGAGCCCCCTGTTTGCATACCGCACCGTCCATGGGGGTGGGGGGTGGGGGGAAGGGGGATGCGCAGCGATGCTCGAGCGGTGGCAGGGCATAACCCAGAGCCTCTCGGCGCTTATGGTTCAGCTGGCTTATTTCAGGGGGGTATGGGGTGGGCGGGTGTCTTTTTTCCCGGGCGGCTGGGATGTTTTGTGCCCCCTTACCCACCCTCTCATAGTTGTTTCACTTCTTGAGCCCTTGGAGTCGGTTCAGTAACTCTGAATGCAGTTGTAAGTGTCTTGCCTTGTTCTCCTGCTTTTAACAAGAGTTCCACTTTAACACGCGAATGGGTAACCCGATCCAGGCGTTTACAAATCTACAATGAATAAAAATATAGAGAAAGGGGAAGACAAGGGAAAGAATTCCTACTGAGACTCTTTATTCATAGGTGTAGGTAATGTACTCAATAGGAACAGGTACATTTGGCAGTTTTATTGCTTTATACCCTCCAGCTTGCTGTTAACATCATGAAGGCGTTTTTTCGCAGGTGCACATACTAGCATTTTCTCAAGCAGCAAGAGCATGCATAACAAAAGGTGTCAGAAAATGGGCTGGGGAGTGTTTGCAACACGTTGCTTTCTTATTTCGAAATAATTCCTGCCGCATAATGGATGCTAACCCGGCAATGGGGGAAAGTGGGGCAGGAGAGGAGACCGGTTTGAGATAATACCTAGATGTCACCTTAGCGAAGGGAATAAGGCGTCACCGTGAAACAAAAAGGAGAATAAGGCAAGGCAGGGAGAGTCTGCAGGAGCTGCTCCCGTTCGATAGGCAGCAAGCGGAGTTACATGTGCATCCCTCGCCCAGCCTAGCTGGTGGACGAACTGCGGTGGTCGCACCCGCGGGACAGGCAGCGGCTGCGGG